TAATTTACAATAACGAAACCGCGTGCAAAAAACAGAGGTAAAGCTTTTGTACAAAAAATAAAAACAACTCAGAAATAAGTATCTACAAACTTTGGATTTCTTCTTAATCCTGGGTCCATTTCAACATATTATTGTTTATTGTATTCTCATTCTGATACGCTTAAATTTTTAATTTTTATATTTTTTTACTGGTAGAAAAGGTAGGGAAAGAGTGAATATAAAGATAGGAAACGAAAAGTTAGAAGAAGTGACTGATTTTCGGTATATATTAGGAAGTCAGATAATCTGTTTTAGGACTGACGACCTTATGATAATGATAATAATTATAATGGGACAAAAATTCTTAGTTACTCGTTTTTGTTTTAATTATTTATTATAAAAGGGAGTCCTAGGAATTCGTGAAAACTCGTTTGCTTTTAGGTCTACTTTATTTTATTTCGTCGATATCCGGAATCACCTTGAAATAAATTCTGCTTTTGGTGCAATTGCCAAGCTCTGATGGTGCTCTCCCCTTACCACATTTCGTGATTTCGCTATTAAGACGGAGCTTCGAGAAGTGAAACCGAGAACATCTCAAGTTAGAGCGACGACTACTTGATGTCACTTGCCGCTTCCATGCATTCATTGGCCTTCTTTTGTAAGCGCAATTTCTCTGCGTGCCAGGATATTGTTATCGAAACACCAGGAAATTTGGCTATTTACACTTCTTCTCCTTCATATTTTCATTAAACTGGAAATGGATCATTCTATTTTCAGGAATAAATTTACAATAATTTTATAGATATCACTAACAAAAAATTATTAAATAAAAGTGTAAAATTTTATGTGAGTGGTCATACTGATAAATCCAGATTTAACAAGAACGAACTTGGATCGATAAATCTTCATGGGAAAGTCTTATTATGACGTTTAAAAATAGAAAGTAAAGAAGGAAATCTGTACCTTGTTGTAACAAGATTAATTATTGTAGTTAAACTGAAATGAAAACAGAACTGAATCTTAAAAGTACCTTACCGTAGGAGCAGTAATTTCAACAACTTAAAGTTACAATGTATCAAAT